GGCAGCAATGAGGACTGCTGGGAGAAGCAGGTGCCTCCCAAGGATAAAAGCGGGGTGCTGGTGGCCCCCAGTGGGTCTCCTGGCTGACCACCTTCCTGGTGACTGGGAACACTTCCTGGGGCGTCTCTGGGGACTTGAACATGCCTGTGATCGTCCCAGATACACATGTAGAATAAAATCACGCACCAAGAGGCTTAAGAATACTCTTTGATTTGAAAGGCAGACAGAGGGACATCTTGCCAAATGTTCCCAGTGCACACAGCAGCCAAGGCTAGGCCATACTGAAGCCTGGAGGTGACAGCTCAACCTGGGTCTCCCGTACGGGTGGCAGGGCCCACGTCCTGGAGGCCCCGTGTGATTGATCAGTACAGCGCCTCACGGGAGGTCACCGTCCCTCACACAGCATGGAGAGCGTGGTGTGTGTGTTCCGGAGGGCTGCTTTCCTGGGGCTTGTGTGGGTGCTCTTCCTCCTCCTCCAGTCTCTGTTGCTGGAGCTGCCTCTCCACGGTTCTCGTGTTTTCTGCACGCTGGGAGCACAGGGACCTCTGCTGGGGATGGCCCTGTCCGTGGTGCTTGCTCAGCACAGCTGTAGGAGGCAGGCGAGGGGTCTCTTCCTGCAGTCAGCAGGTGTGCTTCCCACCTGCAAGGAGGACCTGGGCTTCCTGCTCTCTGGGTGCTCCCCTGTGCACTGCCGGCCCCGCCTGCGTTCACCACGTCTTAGGAGAACTGCAGCTCGAGGTCGCACCTCGTGCCCTGACGGTGTTCCTTATGCTGAACCGTCCTTCGTCTCTGACCAGGGACTCTCGTGCCTTCTGCCAGCTCCCGTGAAGCCGGGGCAGCCTCATTTCTGACCTTTCCTGGAAGGTGCAGGTGACAGAAACTTCAGCTCTTGACATCTACCTTTGGCTGTCTTAGAGGATCAGGAGAGAGAGAGAGAGAGGGAGGGGGATGGGGGGAGGGGGAGGAGGAGAGAGAGGGAGAGAGATCTTGCATGCACTGATTGAATCCCCAAATGCCTATGACAGCCAGGCCTGGGCCAGGTCAAAGCCAGGAGCTGGGAACGTTTCCACCCGGTCTTCCACGTGAATGGCAGGGACCCAGGTACATGAACCAGCACCCAGGGTGTGCATTAGCAGGGAGCTGGACTCAGGAGCTCTAGCCAGGATCCTAAGCAGGCCCTCTGATCTGGGATGCAGACGTCCTGGGCAGCTTCCTAACCACCGCCCTGGGCACCTCCTCAGGTTGTCTTTGTCTCGGTCAATTTCCGCAAACGGAAATCTGTGCTGTCTTCCTCCTGCCTCTGGACTAATGGTAGCATTTGGTTGTGTGTCTTCTTCTCCACTTGGTGTCTCATTCCGGAGACATTTTACAATGAAAATGCTTTCTATTCAGTAGAGCAGAATAAATATCAGGTGTTCGGCAGTGGTTCCTAAATTGCAGAAGATGTGTTTTATATTTAGTTGAGTAGGTAATATGTCTTGTATTAAAATGTTTTGAAAGTCAGAAAGCGTGAGTGGATGGCTACACCCCCTTAAACTGTCCTGTATTTGTTTATGCTCGCCCTGATTGCTTATCAGTGCATGGGTTCTGTGTTGTGCACCTGTGGCGTACTGCTGTTCAGTTACGTTTATCTGTCCCCCTCTCTTGGGCAGTCGCTATGCATCAGGCACTGGTCCTGCTCCTGACTGGGTTTGTCTTCCTTCCTCCTCCCAAAAGTTCTGGCAGGGGAGCTGGCGCTGTGGCGGAGCAGGTAAAGCTGCCCTCTGTGACACCGGCATCCCATATGAGCACCGGTTCGTGTCCAGGTTGCTCTACTTCCTATATCCAGCTCCCTGCTAATGTGCCTGGGAACACAGTGGAGGATGGCCCAAGTCTTTGGGTCCCTGCCACCTATGTGCTTGATCTAGATGAAGCTCCTGGATCCTGGTTTTGGCCTGACCCAATCCTGGCTGTTGTGGCCATTCGGAATGAACCAGCAGATGGAAGACTCATTCTCTCCCTCCCTCCATCCCTCCCTCCCTCCCTCCTCCCCTCTCTTCTCCTCCCCCCCCTTCTTTATACCTCTGCCTTTCAAATGAATAATATTAAAAAATAAATAAAAAGACCGACCTGGGCAGGAATGAGATCAGCCTTTTTTCTTTTCAAATTTCCATTTCATGACTTTTTGAGTGAGAGAGATGGCAGAGAGAGAGAGGTCTTCTGTCACTGGGCTGTGCTCAAGCCGGAGCCCAGAGTTCCATTCAGGTCTCCGGCACAGGTGGGAGGGCCCCAGGCGGTTGAGCCTTCACCTGCTGCCTCCCAGGATGCATCAGTAGGGAGCGGTAGCAGAAGTGGAGGAGCTGAGGCTTGAACCCAGGCACTCGACATGGGGATGCGGGTGTGGAAAGTGGCAGCTGAGCCTCCTAGGCCCAGGAATGTGAGTCTGTTGCTGTTGTGTCACAGAAGGGAGAGGGACACAGAACGGGTGTGTAACTTGCTGAGGTCCTGCAATTGCAGATGTGGGTGTTGCTTTCTTTTTTAGTTTATTTATTTGAAAGTTAGTGATAGAAGGAGAGAGACAGAAAGTGGTCTTCCATTCACTGGTTCACTCTCCAAATGGCCACAACGGCCAGAGCTGTGCCAGGCCAAAGCCAGAAGCCAGGAGCTACTTCTGGGTCTCCCAGGTGGGTGCAGGGGCCCGAGCACTTGGACCATCTTCTGCTTCTTTCCCAGGTGCATTAGCAGGGAGCGGAACTGGAAGTGGAACAGCTGGGACTGGAACTTACACACATATGGGATGCTGGCATTGCTGTTGGAGGCTTAATCTCCCACACCACAGTACAGACCCCCAGGAGTTGGCTTTTTTAAACTCTGTTCTAGTGAACCCTCAAACCTGAGTTCTTGGGTGCTTTACCCTCTAAGATGGAAAGGCGGGAAAGAAGAAATAAGTTTATTTGACTAATCTGCACATAGTTTAACCCTGTCCAATTTAAATCCATGCTGTGGTCTGTAAATATTGAATACACACACACACACACACACACGTACACGTGTACTAGAACTTCCCTTACAGTGGTTATAATGGAATTCAGCATACAGTCCTCGCTAAACGTGACTGTGTTCAGTCACAGCTTAAACAAAGGACCAGCCAAGAAAATAAATCCATGTAAGAGCTGATATTCATCCAGCCCAAGGTTGAGACCGCTACGTGTGGTTCCCACGGCCTCCCTGCAGTGGGTGTGTGTCCAGCCCACCTTAGCACACGTGCATATTCGTGAGACACTGTCCTGCGTGTCACGGGAATCCGTGTCATTTCCGCAGTGGGAACTCTGAGAGTGTCGGTCACCCTGTGATGGTGCATCACAGCTGTCCGGAGCACTTCATTCGCGTGGCTGTTTCAGAGTGAAGCCTGGGTGTTTGGGTGGGTGACCCGGCTCGCTGGCAGTTCCGGAACAACACATGTATAACGTAAAGTCTGTTTTTATGTCTGCCTCCACCTCATACGCTGTCCTGCCCTGGCCCTGACTCCACAAGCGTCCTTCGGGGAGTCTGTGTTGATAGTCAAGGTGTGGCTCTTAGGCAGGGTCAAGGTGCAGGCTAACCTTTAAGAGAGGTGCCGTGTGCTGCTGCTTGCCACGAGACGGGCACGCGAGGGCCTCGCCAGCAGTCTTCCCGGGGCCTGGATGCCCGCCGCACACGCCATCAGCACCCAGAGGCACAGCCACACCTCCCGGGAAGGCTCGGTTCTTAGGGTAAATTTTTGGAGGACGTGTCCATGTGGCATTTGCAGCTGCTCTGCTGTTTCTTGCACTCCTCGGTAATTTACTGTATCGTCTGACACTGTGTCTGCAAAGCAGGCGCCTTGCCTATCATTCTGCGGATTGACGCCTCCAGTTGATGTGTCTGTGGATGCTACCTAGGTTTCTGCTGAGTCTCACAGAAAACATGATTAAAAATATACGATTTTGCCGACAGTTGGTGGTTTAATAAGTTCACCAAAACATTGCTTGTCAAATTTAAATAGGAAGAAGGAAACATAACATGTTATAGGAAGGGGCTTCAAAAAGTTCATGAAAAAATGGAATTAAAGTTGATGAAGACTTTGCATGAACTTCCTGACGCCCTCCAGTGTGCATGCAGGAATTACACACAGAAACGTACAAGGACTGAATTAATTAAATTTTACTAAGTGGCATTCGGGAATGTAGTGCCCAGGAGATTCCTGAGGATGGTAATTTTGCTTTAATTAGCAGATACTTTTAATATTTTCATCGTTATTCATATGCTCTTGAAGTCAACTTTACTATTAGTGAGCTCTTCCATGAGAAGACGGTGACCTCTGTGATCCGTGAAGGTGTGTTCTCAGGGGGTGTTTTACTGACTTCATGAACCCATGTGCGTCCTTGGGAGTCCTCACACACACCCCCCCCAATGGCTACAGCACATCGGGAGGTCTGGTTTAACTTTGCTTGTCACAGGGTGATCACGGGAGCGCTTTTTTTTCTTTCCCTGTGCTTGGTCCTTCACACACAGGAGTAAGCACAAGTGTCCTTTCGACCTCCAGGCAATCCATCAGCCGATTTGGGGAATTTTCTGGCAAATGCCACCGAGGAAGACTTTTAAGTCTGAGATTAGATCTGCTGCATGCATGCTTCCTTTGGATAAACTGTGGCAGCAGGGACCAGGGGACTCGCAGGTGCAAGGTTCTGGTGGTAGTTTTGGTTTATAAAGGTTTCACCTGTTTGGATCAGTCAACAGTTTCAACATTCAGCCTCCGTCTCATGTGTATCTGTTAATATATCATGGCATTGTTGTAGTATAGCATTACGTCCTCAAATACTTGTGGAAGCCGATGAGATAACTGAGCTAAGTAGAGATTCTGTGGCAGGACAGTCCCACATGCTCGCACGGAGGGCTGTCCTCCCTGAAGGAGAGACCCGACGGTCCTGTCTCCTCTCACACTGCACAAGTGCCCGTAAGCTAACGTGGAGCCCCTGCCCTTTGTGTCGTTCTGCCTGCAGGAGGAGGATGGTGTGGAAGAGGACAGCAGCCGCGTTGAGCCCCTGGGACACGCCGACACTGGCTCAGAGAACATCCCCAGCTTCTCCCTGGAGTGAGTTGTTACTGGTTTTAAGTCATCGTGGGGCACACACGTAGCATCGCTAATTGCAGCAAGTCTCCCTCAGACATATGGCATGTGGAATGTTTGTGCTGAGTTGCAGACACGCCTGGCTTTGATTTGCTTTCCCAAAGAGCATCTTCCGTTGATTGAGTCCTGTAACACGAGAACCTGAGCATGCGTGTTCACATGCACCTGCCTAGAGCTTCCTGCCCTGGCAAATACTATTACATTAGGACATAAAATAGTATTTGGATGGAAATGTGTGTCCTGTTAACAGCCTGTAAGTGCTGTAACTGCTTTCACATTGCTTTGTCTGTTGGCATTTTGGTCAGTTGTTCTTCCACTGTGCTGAACTGATGAATATTGTGAGTGTTGGTGACAGGAAACACTGGTTGGCTTTATGCAAACTGTAGTCATTATAATACACACTTGTCAGACATAGACTCTCCCAGAATCTTTGATGAATGAACACAGGTCCTCCGTTAGGGACCTGAAACATGATTTTAAATTCAAAAAGGAAAACCATCCCTTAAGTATCACAACTTTTCAGCTGCCTTAAATATTGGTCCGTGTTAAGTGGGCAGCATTGTCAGCATTTCTTCCTTGATAGCTTAGAGTAGGATGAGCAGTGATTTGGGTTTTTATTCTTTGAGTAAATGTTGGGGATATGCACAGGAACACTTGCGTATTTAATTCTGTCTGCCTTGGCCTTCCAAGGGAGGGCATCAGGACCTTCTTAGAGAGACCACACTGGTCTGATACCGAGCGCCCAGCTCTGAGTGTTTACTTCAGAGACACGCGTCTCGCCACAGTTCCTTTCAGAAAGCATGTGGAATCGAATTGCTTTCATAAAGTTGTGTTCCTAGTTGACAGATCAGTGATTAACTAGGTGTTCAAGTGCTATTACCAGTAGGATTTTATGAAATTCTATGAAAAATAAATAACAAATCTAAGTGGTGTCACTTTAGAAATGTTTTAGTATTTTACTGAAGTAAAATTTTAGTCTGGCAAATGAATGTCTTGTCCCATGTTGTTAGTGTACATGATTGATTTTGTGCATGTATTTTCAATTGTGCTTTTGTTTGTTTGAGTCTTTGTATCATAGAAACCGGGCATTCATAGTACATAGAATATCCCATTGAGTTTAATATAAGATATCCAGCTAAAAATTGGCATTTTCCACAATGTAAGTCTATATTATGATATTTGTCAAATCTATCAGTAAACAAATTTTGTTTTCCTGGTTGCTTACATTATGAATTTGAGGTAGTATTTTCAAATCTTGATTGTTGCATACCTAGTACTTGGAATTACTAAGTGTCTCCACATGGAAAAAAGCCCAAAAGAGAAGAAAATCTCCTTCAGATGACTTCAAAACTTCTCAAATTATGTTAATTTTCATCAGATGCAAGCTTTTTAAGAGTAGATACTCATGGACATGGCCTGACACACGCATGGGGTGTCTCGTGCCTTCACCAGACGGTGGAGTTATGTAGCTCAAATGCCATGAATGGCATCTGGACTTTGAATATCAGTTTCTTT